GAGAGAGAGAGAGAGAGAGAGAGAGAGAGAGAGAGAGAGAGAGAGAGAATGGTTGTTTGTCTCGTTTGTCTCTGTGTCCCTGTGATGGACTGGAGACCTGTCCAGGGTGTCCCCCGTCTCGCATACAGTGACTGCTGGACATGGGCACCAGTGACCCCCGCAACCCGAAAAGGAAGAAGCGGGTAAAGATAATGGAAGGATGGATGTTCATTATGTTATGCATATGTGTTGAGGATAGCTCTCTGCTACGACCACACCAAATTTAGCTTAATATCTGTAAAATTGACTGTCAGAGCCATTTTAGTGTCAGCCAGTGTCGATGAACTGCCATGTTGAATTGAGTTGACTCAAATGTCAACGAGTTTGAATATATGGCCAAATACTTTCTGAGTTTCATTAAAATCAGTCAAGTGGCTCTGGAGATCTTTTGCTAAGACACATTAACACGCAGACACAAACAAAAGCAAACATGTTGTTTCCTTTTGCTTTCAGCAGCAGGTGATAACTACAACAAGCTGTATGAGCTCACTTTTTTACAAGAACATTTATGAAAACTGTTCCAGTAACAGAGCATACAGAATTAAAACGTCCAATTTAAAAAGGAAAACAGCATTGCAAAAGTGTTGTAACCTGAGGTGACCTCCAGGGGACAAGTCCAGAAGAAAGCTAAACAAAGGAAATACAGTAAACTTCTGTTCTCTAAAGACACTACAGCTGAGCTGAAACATGCTCAAACTACAGCAAAAAAATCTTCATCAGTATCTGTCAGAGGTGCTAATCATATAAACATAAGTTATCCACACTTAACCAGAGCAAATACTCACATTATATCAATACATGGATTTAATTTAAAGTCTCAGTTTAAAGAAAACCAACATAACAAAATAAAAACTAAACACACCAAAGCTCCTCTAAGCTCAAATCGCAATATCCAGCTCCAACTGGCAGCTGGAGGTGGGCGGAAAACTTGTGATAATCTGTACTTTGATGCAATAAAAGCAGAAATAGTTCATCTCAGTGAACTTCAAAGTTTTCTTCCTTATCAATGGTCTTTTATCTAAAATAACAAACTTTTATTTTAAAGCTGCATTGGTTGCAGTGACGAGCGGTGAGCTTTGTGACAGGTGAGGCACTGACTGACTGGAATAGGATGCTCACATATATGAACCAAAAATAGAAACTTATATTTCTATAAAAAAAATTAAAATTATTAGAAAATGTTTGACACTTCATCGTGCAGAGATGTTCTTCATCTCAATGATTCTTTCACATTTGTCTTCTGGAGCTACTGTCTGGTCACAGACTCACCAAACTACACTTAAACCATTGAAAAGTCTCTACAATTGGGCCTTGAAGGTTTTATACCAAAAGCCAATCAGATTTCATCACTGTAATATTTTAGCTCAGTTCAGTATTCTAGAATTTTCCAATTTTATAAATTACAGTTTTTATAAATTGATCTTCCAATGCTTAAATGGACTTACACTCAAACCATTAAGCAATTATACAGAAACTGCAGAGTAACAGCAGATCTACCAGAGCAGCTTTAAATGGCGACTGTAAGGTTCCTTTTCATAGAAACACTTTTGATCAAAGTGCTCTCTCTCTGTGAGATGAGACACAATTTGGAACTCACTCGCTGTCGATTTAAAGTCTGTAACCAGATTCAATATGTTTAAAAAATAAATTAAACTCTGTGTCAAAAACAGCATTGCATTCATGCTTAATGTATTTTATTGTTTTAATCCATTTGTTTTATGTGTATGACTCATCTAGTTTAGAAAAATCCTTTAGTTTTGAAATATGATCTTCCATTTTGTCTAAATAAATTTAAATGAGTGTACCGTTTGCTTCACCTCTGCTGCACCTCTGTGTAACAGAATAACTCACAGCAGCACCTGCTTCATTGTCATAGTGTGGACAGCACTGCCCCCTATTGGTGAGGCAAGGTATATTCTGCCGCACCTCTCGTGTTTTTCAGTGTGCATTATGACGGATTAGAAAGCAGAAATATGTCACACACATTCATTCAATATATTAGACAGACTGTAGAACATCAACATGTGTAGCAGAGACAGTAAAGAGAGAGCAATGGTCATGCACCAACCACCTACTTCATATATCGTATGTGACACAGCGCCCCCAGAGGTGAACTTGAGCACTACACTGCCTCATCCAGCATTGTTTGAACAGGCAATGCATAAAGTCTGCAATTTTGACCACTGCAGTATTAAAATAATTCAGAAAACAGTTTTATAAAACACTTTTATAGAACAGTCAAGTGGTCAAATGTATTTTCTCTTATCGTCAGTATTTTAGTTGTCATGATGACAGGAGAGGCACTGCCTCACTTGCTTCCCCTGACTGCACATCACTGATTGGTTGATGTATTTTTCCAAATCCTCACACAAATAACTAAATGACTTTGAAACAAAATAACTTGTGTAACAGCAATAAAATGTTGGCAGATCTTGATAACTAGAAGGGTATCATAACCCGGTTGCTTAAATTTGTTGTACAGACACAGCTCTCCTTTCAGCTTTGTTTCAGTGTCCAATCTTCTGCTTGAAATATTTGAGTTCTTTAGTTGAACATTTACTTCAGCTGGACTATGTTTACCGTTTGGTGCAGAGCAGACGGGATACTGTTGATTCATCACAGCATTTACAGCATAGATCAGACATCAGAAACACAGAGTGAAATGAGGCTAAAATGCTACTCAGATGAAGCCAGTGTTAGATGAAATGGTTGCGTGTGTAAGCAGCTTGAACAATTTGTCTTTTCCACAACATGAAAGACTTACATGTAGGGGTGACTGCTGCATAAAACATACACTTATACAGCTTTATATAAACATCAAGAAACAATGAAATTGTAACTGAATTGCATAACAGAAGCTAAAATCAGAAAATAAGTTGCTAAAATTGGTAAAATATGTTAATTGCTAAATAAAAGCCAAAATTAATAAAACTCATGGTAAAAGTTAAAATGAACAAAAGAGTAAATACAAGATAAAATCAAAAAATGATAGCTAAAAGTTAAAATGAACAAAACTTACGCAGAAAGCCTAAAATGAGCAAAGCAGTAGCTAATGGTTAAATGTAGCACAACAGATGCTAGATTCTAAGGCTACGTTCACACTGCAGCTCTTAAAACTCAAAAATGATTATTTTGCTCAGATCTGATTTGTGTGTGTGTGTGTGTGGTCGTTCACACTCTCACAGAAATGCAATCTCCACCAGACTCCAGTGTGAACCCTTTACAGTTCTGAGGCGACCCACATGGACAGAAGAAAATATGAGGTCCTGAAGCACGTTGTGTTTCAGGACGTTAATATGGATGTTACACGTTAGTTTGTGGGATTCTAAAGTTGTTGTGCAATCCTTCATCCATCCAGTCATCCGTTTTCTTTACCTGCTTCTTCCTTTTTGGGTTGTGGGCAATGCGGGGGTCACTGGTGCCCATGTCCAGTAGTCCATTTGTGAGAGGCGACAGGGTTCACTTGGACAGGTCTCCAGTCCATCACAGGGACACATAGAGACAAACAACCATTCACTCTCTCACTCACACCTAGAGACAATTTAGAGTTTTCAATCAGCCTAACATGCATGTTTTTGGTCTGTGGGAGGAAACTGGAGTAGCTGGAGAAAACCCACGCAGCACGGAGGGAACATGCAAACTCCACCCAGAAAGGCCCTTGACAGGGATTCAATCCAGCAACCTTCCTACTGAAAGGCAGCAGCTCTACTAACTGTGCCACCCTACCACCTGTTTGACAACCAGAACCAAGTATATTATTATCTGACATTATGATTTAGTTCAGTGTTTACATTGAATTTAGCCTACTGACGGCTCCTCTGCTGCAGCGTTTTTGTTTGGAACAGGAGCAACGAACTGAAGGTAGAAACAAACTAAAGCAGGGGTGTCAAACTTACTTACAAAAGGGGGACAAAATCAAAACCTTTTTCAAACTAAGGGCCAATTTCAGAAACTACATTAGCTCAAACCAGATACCCAACATCTTTTCTTGGTCACAGGTTCCTCAACAAGATTTTTATTGGTCTTATTTGATGTTCTCTCTTGTGCTTTTGACATCATAATCAAAGATTACTGAAACAATTCAAGATATATAAGTATTTTATGTTTCACGTATCATCTTGAGGGCCAGATAAGATGTCAACGAGGGCCACATTTGGCCCCTGGGCCTTGAGTTTGATACATATGAACTAAAGTATCGATCCCATCACATTAGCATCGATACAGTCCGACACTAACGTTATTGTCATATGTTGCTGTAGATTCATTCATCCAGGACATGGAAATTAAAACAACAAAGACGAAACAACTGGACTTCTATTCTGTAGCTGAAGACATGTCGAGTCTCAGGATATAAACTGCACGAGGTTCATATCAATATTATCAATAAATGGATCAATCTGCTTACTCCTACCTCACTAATAAACAAGGTGGATGAAACGCTACATGAAGTTCAGACTGTAAAAGTTGCTTTGAGAAACATATTTTTGATTCAGTACCACATATGACCTGTTTCAGATTTCAGTCTATCATGAAAAAATCCAATATGGGTCACAAAGGGAGAAAAATGGATTTGGGCTTCATTTGTCTGCAGTGTGAGCGTAGCCTAATTGTAGCAAAATTGTAACTAATACAAATAAATTGGAAAACCATAGCTAAAAGCTCTAATTAGCAAGGCGGTAGCTTAAAGCTGTGAAATAAGTTAAAAATAGAGCAAGAATGCAAAAAAGTTTTTATGGGATGTTTTTCAAGGACATGAAGAGATCACAATGTATATCTGTGGAGAAAATGTTTGTTAATAAAGTTAGATATTTTTAAATGTGTAAATGTTTAATGAAATACCATGTTCAGTTGAAATGTTAATTTTGATGTATAGATGGTTAAAATAGTGCAAAGTATGCAGAAGAAGCTTCACTGCAAAACAGCAATACATAGGCACTATAAACAGGAAACCATTAGTGTTGATGCTGAGTCAGCATTTACACAATGAAACAACTCACAGTCTTCTCCTGAGTAGCCAGTCACTATCTTGGGCTCGGGGCCCCAGCCCTGGTTGTTCTTGGCCTGGATCTTGATTTCGTATGGCACAAACGTGGGCGTGTTCTTGACCACGAACGAGTGCCTCTTCACCGTGTGTTCCGTCCATTCTTCCTCCTCATCCTGTCGTCTGTAACTCACTTTGTACTCCAGGCCGGGACCGTTGTGCTCAATGGGTAGCAGGGGCTAAAAGTATGGAGGGAAAAAGACATTTTCATTGATACGTTTCATCACTTTTGGGCTGTAGGTTTAAAATGACGATCACGCTCAGTGATCTGTGCGCAGCGTTTCATCCTTGTATCCAATAAAACAGTAGAACAGATGACCTGGTCCAGCAGAGAGACTTTTATTTGATTCAAAGCTTGTTAAGTCATTGTAGATGAAAAGATACAACTCCTCACAGAAGTCGGACCGTGAAAAATAGAATAAGATTCCATTACCTACAAAAGCAAATCATTAACAGCAGGAGAGCTCATGAATCTGTGAATCAGGGGCTACAGTACCATGACTGGGCAAGCAGATAATAAGGGAAAAAGAGATTCATCTTTCTACAATAAAGGCAAATGGATGGCTGCGAACGTTAAATAAAAAAAATCTTTTTATAGCCTTCAGAGTGCTTTCTAATCAAAGAAAATGAGCTACTTTCAATAGAAACATATTCACAGTGATCCTAGAAAAAAGGATTTCTTAACATCCAATCCTCGGAGTGAAATATTAGAAGAAGACTATTCCTTTTCTTAAAATTATTTGCAATTGAAAATGAAACATTGATAAAACTTCATCTCTGTCCTCTGAGAGAAATTCTAAGGCTGCCAGAAGTGTAGAGGAAGTGAATACTTCACTATGCAAAGGTAGGCCACACAGCAGAATTAGAAGTAACAGGATAATAAAGGAGCAGACTTGAGTTCTTACCTCCCAGTTGATATCCATTTCATGTGGCAAATGACCTTCGATTTTGATATTTTCAGGGTTCTTGTCTGGGGCTGTACAAAGGAAGGAGTATAGATTTTGTCAGCATTGTTAGTGAAAGAACTCTCCAGTGAAAGAGACGCACAGAGAGCAGATTTTCAACAAGAGCGGATTCAATTATGTGGCAGTTTGGAGCCTTTTAAAGTTCACAGAGTCACAGTGTTGGTGGCTCGAGTGGCCAAAGGGACCTTATCAAACAGCTGTATACCAAACAATGAAGAGGATGATTTCAGACCTGCTGCGGGGGTTTTGTATCTCTCTGTGGGCTCGCTGGTAAGCCCCACACCTACAGAGTTCACGCCAGATACTCGGAAGCGATAGTCCACGTGGCCGTGGAGTTTGAGGACAGCTGAGTTGTGGTTACCAGGTACTCGGAGCAGCTCCTTCCAGTTTCCTGGCTCCCACTTGTTCTCTTCATATTCAATAATGAACTCTGTTGACAGGCAGAAGACAATCAGAGTGTCAGAGTTGTCTCTTGCTGCTGCGGCTTCTTCCTAAAGATTGCTTATCTAACCACCAGCTGTGCCGAGCGTTCTACAAGCCTTGCTCCTAGTTTGTGGGTTCCTCAGGGAGATAAATCATGGATAATAACGGATTATAATAACTGTACAAGATGATATGAAATTAACCTGTTGTGCATGCAGAATGATGCTCAAAACTGTGGGTCATCATCATCAACATCTTTATTACCACAATCATCATACGTAATAACTGATGATGATGATGATATGTAATGATCATTAAATAATCACATGTAATGATTATAAAATTTAGGGGGAGTTTTAGGTTTTATGTGAAACACTTGTATTTTTCAAAGATTATCATAGTTTATTCACTTTTATGTGAAACAAACAAGAGTAACTTTTGTTTATATAAAGACTAGAAGCCTCATATTTATAAAGACTGTCAAGTTTTTTTATGTACTTAAATGAATCACTGAATACTATGAAATGAAATAATTGTTGAAGATTTTTGTTCTAATCTGCAAATATTCATGGGATGTTGGATATTTTCCCTTGTGATGCTGTTTTTCTTTTACATTTTATTGTGGGATGTAGCTGGGACCCTGTGTACATCATCTCGTTCCACCACATGTACCACACGTGGTGTGTATGACGAATAAATCTCTCTGACTCTGACTTGATTATTGCTATTTTATCCTTCCACCATACAATAACACATCTTTAGGATGAAAACAATTTTGTTAAAGCATGAAGCTGTACAAAAACTATTAAACAGCAGTTTTGGATGTTATCAGCCCATTAAATCCGCATTATTAGTTGTTTATCATCCCCATAGGTTGCGTTGTGACTGTCCCTCCTACCTCCTCGTAGTTTGAAAGGCATGTTGTTATCGTTGATAATATGCTGCTTTGCACGCGTGTAAAACTGGAAGTCTTTTTTTGTTAACTTTATTTAACCCTTTTCCTAAACCTAACCTTACACCTGACCCAAAGCACTGACTCTCAACTTAACACCTTTCCCCTTGAGCCTTAACCTAACCCAGACCCTAAACCTAACCGCCAGACCCTTTACTCAACCTAACCACGTGACCGTATTATCAGCACTAACAATGTACCTTTAAACCTATTAGGAGGTGCATTAGGGGCAGTTTGAAGGCAACCTATGTGGATGATAACAACTAATAGACATTTAATGGGTGATAACATTCGAAGCGGGTGATTAAGAACTTTTCTTTTTGGCAGTGGGAAGACAGATTTCATAGGGGCTTATAATATAATGGAAGTGAAATGCATTGCTGATTTTATTTATTTGCTTTTACTATGTTATGACCTAGTTCTTATTGTGTCACCTATATATATATATATATATACACATTTTTATTTATTTTTTTTAGTTTAGTGTAATGTTCAACTGGAAGGTATCAAGGAAAAATTCATATTCAAAGCAATTCACTGGTTTTTACAAGTACAATAAAGGTAAATTGTTTCCAAACTCTATGAAAAATTATTTTCAATAATCAATTAAATAATTAAATAATTTTATTACAATATTGACCAAATTATCATTATTATTATTTGATAATTGAGCAGCCCTGCTGTATGTGTTTCCACCTAGATGCATGTTTGTTTGGTCATACCTGTGATTGAGCTGTTGTGATCATCCCCGGGGGTCCATTTCAGTTTCACACTTTTGCTCTTGTGGTCGGACAGGACCAAGTTCTCAGGTGCATCTGGGACATCTGAAAATCACGATGGCTTTATTAAATCACACACACACACATCAGTCTCTGCAGTGAGAAAAGGCCAAGGGAAGAAATGTTCAATCAAATCATCCCAGGAGTTAGAGGATGTGGAATGAGCCGAGTCACCGTATCAGCTGCTGCTTGTGTCTTTTCGATTGTGAGCTGTCAACAATATCTTGGAGCTTGGTTTGCAGATGTTCTGCTGTTCAAATTAAGCCATCATCTGTGTATGCTGACATTTTGATCCCTTTGCGAGCATGTCACAAAATAGACGTAGCTTTGGGTTTTCCTTAGGAAAAGAAAATGAAATGTTTACTCACCTAACACCATGAGCAGGGCTGAAGCTGAGGCTGTGTCCACTGGAGTTTTGGCCACACAGGTATACAAACCCTGGTCTCTGTAGTTCACGCTGTCAATGTGAAGAGTGCCATTCTCCAGAAAGTATCTGCTGACAAAAATATAGACTCACTATTGACTGTCCTAAATGAAAGTACAACTTATTTTCAGCTGAGACTGCAATCTTTAAAAAAAAAAAAAAAATTATCTTTCCTACCCTGAATTCTCAGTATAGTTTAAAACAATCTCTGCACCATCTTTTTCCCACAGGAGCTCAAAGTCGTAGCTGAAGGACTTGTCGTACTCTGCCAGGCAGGAGAGCAGGGCTGTGGTACCTTTTATGATCTGCTGGTCCTTTGGGGCCTCCACTATTTTGGTGGGATCTTCCACAGAACAGACACGATGGTTATGCTGGATGGAACCTGAGCTGCTGCAAAATGTCTTTACTCTGAAAGTTTACCTTTTACATAAAGCATGGCATCGATGTCCGATGATCCCTCTGTGTTTTTGGCGGAACACGTGTACTGTCCCGCGTCTCCTTTCTCCACCCTGTAGATCTCCAGAGAGCCGTTACTATGAACGGTAAACCTGGGTCCCTCAACAGATTCAGAGAAGTCCTCTTTGCTCCTGGAAAACAAACAACAACAAAATATAAATAAACAAAGGCCTAGTATTCCTTGTATGTTGCACCGTCTGTCATGTCAGCGTTTCAGACTAAGATCATCCTATGTCTTGTGCCATTTTTATTTTGTAAGGGTGGCGGTTTTAAAGTTGTCATATTTAATCAGGTTCACTCCAAAGTTAATCATTTGTAGACTTTCATGAATTGATTATTTTCTGCTAATTTAACTAAAATTGTTCAGTTGTTCATGAGATATGTTGGTAAAAGACAGACACACCTACTCATACAGGCACAGCCAACAATTGTATGTCCCCAGCCTTTGTTTTCCAGTGGCAGGTGATTCCAAAAACACAACCTAGAAAGTTCCTTGAGAAACTTTGACAGGGACTGCCACGTTGGGTCCATTTTATGTGTTGGGGTTTACTCTCAGCTCAAAATGGTAAAAAAAATCAATGAGTTATATTAATTTTTGCTTTTAAGCTATGGTATCCAACTTGGATTTTTAACTTGGAATAAGTATGGGATGAGGAATGTTCTTAGCTAGAAACACCAAATTTCAGCTTAATATCTCTAAAAATGTCTAATTTATAGTATTTTTCTATTTTAGCTCAGGCGGCCATCTTGGATTTTTGATTTGCAATAGGAATGTGTAACAACTCACTCTCAGCTATGACCAAACCAAATTTCAGCTCAATATCTCAAAGAATGACTGAGTTATAGTCAATGTTGAGTTTTCTGAGGTAGCTGTGGAAGCCATCTTGATCCAAAATGGCTCTAAAAGTTAATCAATGTTTTATTCAGGGACCTCTTCACTCTAGGTCATGTGACCTCACTGTGTCAGTTAGAGGCTGTTCAGAGTTTTTAATTAGAAAAATTGCATATTTGTTTGCAAATTACATTGCCATGGTAACTCCAAATGCCAATAAAAGTAATAGTACACATCACGGTGCCGGACCGGTCATTTTGATATAAAATTTGTGGGGGTACACCTTGTGGTTTGGGCTGCATCAAAGTTGATAGAAGAGCGAGACCCTTTTCAGGTGGATATAGGTGGCTGCCTTTCTGGGAAGTTCATAAAAAGTTAATTTATAAGTTTAGTTTTTGCTAACTTCCATCTATTATTTATAACATTTGAGAATCAATAAGTTAATGGAAATATGTTTCCACTTCAGCAACAATGTTGCTCTTGTCTTGTTTGTCAGGTCTTTGAGTTAAAGTGAACACAGCCAACCAGTTGAGATCTACTGCTCTCTGCTGGTGTGTTGTGCCAGAGAGAAACTCTTCCCACTCACCAACTGATTGAGGATGGAGGAGAGCTGAAGACTTTACAGTGCAGCATCACTCCGTTGCCTTCCACTGCAGAATAATCCTCCTCATTCTTGGTCAGAATTATTGGCTGGAGATCTGCAAAGAGCAGTAGCAAGGTCCAGTGATCAGTCAGTGGTTAATGGAAACAATGGAAACAAGACGTGCTCTTAACCACTGAACAAACCCAGCATGGAGTGAGATTAACTCCCAACGTTTATACCTGGTAACATAAATATGACATACATAACATAATAACATAACACCCCCCACACACACATATATACATACATACATACATACATACATACATACATACATACATATATATATATATACATACATACATACATACAAGCATATATATATATATATATATTCCAGCTTCCTCTTCTTCAGGGGTCACCACGGTGAAGTAGCTTGCAGGAAGACTTGGCAATTGTTTTTACACACATCTGCCCTTCCTGATGCAACCACAGACCACCGAGATACCACAGCCCTCTGTGTGGAGCAGAGATCTGCCATCTAGGGTGCCCGGGGGGGTCAGATGGTGGGGGTTAAGAGTCTTGCTCAAGGGCCTTATGTTCTTCTTATATTGATGGTTATTGTGTCCTTAAATAAAAATAATTGTGCCAACTATATGTTTGTTTACCTACGGAAACATCTGAAGTGACTGAAAGAACAATCAGTATATAGAAGAACTGTCAGGTCCAACAATTTCAATCCACTGGTATGTATTTACACTCAGACTGGTTGAGCCAAATATACAGATAAAGGTTTTTTGTTTGTTTGTATTTTTTTTCCATTTACCCTTTATTTATCCAGGTAGTCTCATTGAGCCACGAGAACTCATTTTCAAGAGAGAGCTGTTTAGGGAGCAGATGGTGGGTGTTAAGGGCCTTGGTCATGGGCCCAGAGTGAGGCGAATGAGGGTGAGGGCAGGTGTGGGTGCTTCACCTACCCCACCCACATTTTTGATGTTGTCGGTACCGGGGCTTGAACCGGCGATCTTCCGATCACAGACCCACCTTCTCTAACCTCTGCGCCACATTGAGTGCATACCCACATTTCTGGATCACTTATCGGTATACCTGGAAAACAACTGGAGTAAATGTTTTCAAACTGCCTTGCTTGATGTAGTTCAGGACAAGTGTTTTATGTTGAGTTTATACCTTACAATGAGTAGCATTAACTGAAGATTCCTGGGTGTAAAAAAAATACAATGTCTTGGCTGTGGGGTTTGTCAGAAATGTGAAAATGAAATCAGAGAGGAAACAATGGAATAATGATTTATTTGTGCTCCTACACCTTATCAGTTGTCGCCAAATCCTCTAATTAAAATGCTCTGTCTCTCCTGAGTGTTTGCTGGAGCGGCAGCTGGGACTCAGCATTCAGAGAACGTCCAGCTTTATTAACTTCTGTGTCAGGGAGTGCAGGCGCCGTGCAGCTGCACGCAGCAACAGAAAGGATTGTTCCGTTTGTGGTATTTTATCTGCACTCATTCAACAGCGCATGTTTTTCTTATGGCGGTGGGATGTGTGCACAATGTGCAGTGAACTTGTTAGCATATAAATGGTAGAGAACACAGCCAGTTGCTCTTCATGGAGAGCAGCAGGCCTGAATGAAGGAACACAGCCTGCAGACAGTGCTCCTTCCCTGGGCTCCTCACTGCTTCATGGGCACATGCCAGCATGAGTGCCGGCTCTCCATCTTGGCACATCAGTCAGCAGCCTGTAAATGACTCCCTGCAATGTCTGACACATCCTCACAATCCCAGTGAAACAAAGACTTTGCCAAGACTGAGTTGTACACCGGAGAAAACACAGCAAAGCTGTAGGAAACTGTAGCTCAAAGAAAGAAAGCTTGTTGGACTTACTCATAACCATGATGTTGGCATTAGATAAGAGGGTTCCATGTTTGTTGGAGGCCTCGCACTGATACACCGCGCTGTCAGAAGCTTTGGCATTGTGTAACATTATGGTGTCATCAAATACCTTCCTGTTGGTCGCTGGAGAATCTGTAATGGACCAGAAGTGTTTCAGTCATTATCCTTTAATCAAACTGTGATGCTCCAGGTTTTGAATTCTTCAGAATTTCCCTGATTTTACTGGCATTTTAATGTCATTTCTAACCTGGGACCTAACCCGGGACCAAACCCAGGCCCGGCCCGACCCAAATTTGGGCCAGGCCATTATAATGTGTTAGATGGGCGTGCCTGGTCGGTGTCAGGCTTTTGATTGTGTCAGCGGAACAGCCCTAATCCAATTATATGGCAAAAGGTTTTGCCATATTTCACCAGTCACACACGGCCATTTAACTGGCCTTGAAAGAGGTAAAATAAATATCCTGATGCATGCTCAATATTCCAGGTAGAAAAATCCAAAAAAGTGCAATCTGGTCCTCTGGACATTCAAAAAAACCCAAAAAACAAAACAAAGCAAAAAAATATATAGAAACGTTTCATCTCTCATCCGAAAGACTTCCTCAGTCTGAGGTGCTGTATTCAGCTCAGTCTCTTAAATAGCACCTTCTCCGAGTGGATCAACCAGTTTGCTGCTGACAACCAAAACCAGCTGCTCACATGGGCAAGAAGGACCATCAGCCTAAAAATGGATCATTAGCACACTGATGGCTGTTTACTATTCACAGGGGGTTGAGTGATACTAACAATAACAGCATTGTAAGAGGGGGACAGTTGAACCCGGAGGCCTCCACCCCTGTTTAATGATGGACGATTTCTTTTCACAAAGATGGCCTCCTTTACTCCTCTCTCAAACCATCGTTCCTCTCTGTCCAGGATGTGAACATCTTGATCCCTGAAAGAGTGACCGCTGTCCTGGAGATGAGTGTAGACCGCAGAGTCCTGGCCTGATGATGTTGATCTTCTGTGCTGGGCCATCCTTTTGGCCAGTGGCTGTTTAGTTTCCCCGATGTAAGACTGATCACAGCCCTCCTGACACTGAACAGCATACACAACATTACTCTGTTTGTGCTGAGGGACTGGGTCTTTGGGATGAACCACTGGGACGTTATGTTTAGAAAATAAACGTCTCAGTTTCTCAGATACTCCCTCAACATACGGAATGACCACTGGTCTGGGTCTGGGTTCCTCCTTTTCACCTGATGGCTGACTGGAGTCCTGTTTGGGTTTCTTCTCTGCTTTCAGGAAGGCCCAGCAGCAAAACTGGTTGATCCACTCGGAGAAGGTGCTATTTAAGAGACTGAGCTGAATACAGCACCTCAGACTGAGGAAGTCTTTCGAATGAGAGACGAAATGTTTCTACATTTTTTTGCTTTGTTTTTTTATTTTTAATGTCCAGAGGACCAGATTGAACTTTTTTGGAGGTAAAATAAAGTTCAGTTAAGCTTCAGATGAGACTATACTTCCAGGAAGTGATCCATCGCCCAAATGGATGTTCATTCAGCTGCTGCACTTAACGGACGCACGCGGCCGATGACCCAAAAAAGGTGAGATCCTAAAGCAGACATGTCAGAGCAGGGTGAGTGTGTCTGAATAATGCAAAATGCAGGCAGAAGCAGGGATTTAATGTGCTTTGACGGCCATGAAAGGACAAACACCCCCTCATATCTGATCTTCTGAACCTTTTATTCAGCCGCACGCATCCGCTGACCATTATTCTGTAAACTACTTTGCAGCTGAGCGAGTTATGTTTTTAATTTTATTCGTGACAGTACAGATATCCATGCATATTATTTAAAATGTTTGTTTCCAGACAGAAACAGAAGTTGCTCTCATTGGTTAGGACTTCACCGTGATCAGAGAAGGCCAACTCAGACAGAAAAATTAACCAATCACCATGTTGATGTAGACTAGCTCAGATGTGACACTTGATGAATAAAAAGAAGAGAAGCACTTCCTATTGATGAGTCATTTAATTGCTAAACTGGGGCAGCTGTTGCTGAGTGGTTAGAGCAGTCGTCCTCCAATGCGAGAGATGGGGGTTCAAATCCACCAGCAGTCACATGCCGAAGTGTCCCTGGGCAAGACACTGAACCCCTCATAGCCTCTGATGTGTGTCCCATTGGTGTATAAATGTGATCTAAAAGCACTGATTAGTCTCATTAGAATGATTTGTTCAATTAGCTTTGTAGAGATCTAGTAGAGTGCTGTATGAATGGGTAAATGAGGACACAGATTGTAGTGTAAAGCGCTTTGAGTATCTTGAAATAAGATAGAAAGGTGCTATATAAGTACAGTCCATTTACCATTTACCAAAGTAAAATGACATGATGGCACATCTGGATGGTATTATATGACATCCTCACTGAAGGCCTAGCTCTTGAAATGCATGCACTTTATTTCAGCAGCCTCTTTCTGACACAACAGGCATTACATCAGTATGTCACACTCAACGCACAAACCTAATCTAGATGCAGTGATGCTTACTACGATTAAATTAGAAGACATTTCAAATGTTTTTAAACATTTTAGTTATTATTTATTTATTCTTTTTTTTTTTTCCTTTCAGCTGCTCCCTTCTTCAGGGGTCACCACAGTGAACTAACTCACATGAAGACTTGGTGAATGTTTTTACGCCTGATGTCCTTCCTGACACATCCACAGACCACCGAGCTACCACAGCCCTCTGTGTGGAGCAGAGAGCTGCTATCTAGGGCATCCAGGTGAGCAGATGGTGGGGGTTGAGGGCCTTGCTCAAGGGCCCAGAGTGGGGCAAATGAGGGTTGAGGCAGGTGTGGGTGCTTCACCTTTCCTACCCACATTTTGATGTTGTTGGTCCAGGGAGTTGAACTGGAGGCCTTCCAATCACAGGCCCACCTTCTCTGACCTCTGCACCACCACTCCACCTCCCTACACTAAAAACGTTCCTTCCTTCTTAAAGCTATTTTGTGGGAAACAGAGTGTTTTGGGAAAGTTGTGTTCCTACAGATGGACTTTCATATTTATTAATCATTTATTTATTTCACTTTTGGGCTGTTTAAAAAAAAAACAATAATGACCAAAAGAAAGCCTTTCTACATTGATTTGGTAGAGATTAGAGTGAGACTCACCCCGCAGAGGTTTACCGTTCACCCTCCATGTGATGGTCGGCTGCGGGGTCCCCCTGGCTGAGCACTTGACGAGCACATCTGAGCCGATCATGCTGAGCTGACTCTGTGGCTCTGACACCCACTCTGGAGGCTCTGGGAACACACAGTCAGCACGATGTTATCAAACTGTTGAGTGTCAGAGGACAGAAGACAGCAGGCCTGTGCAGAGGGAGCTCACAATAACAGCTGTATATTATTCAGAACAAACGAACGATGCCTTCACTGTCCACAGCAAGCAGACATGGATCCTCAAAGGGACACTTCTCCCCAGAGGAATCATCAGCACAATGCAGGAATTATGTCACATTTTCTGTCACCACTGCTTTCAAATTCTTCAGTTCATGATTTTTTTTTTTTTTTTTTGAGTAGTAAACACACAGATAATGCAACATAAGAGCATGGCAGGACTGCTATAAAGACACCATTCTATGCTTTTAGTTCTACACTGGATGAGATTGTGAAGTTCCTTGCATGTGGTTTTCTTGAAATCTTTTTGTGACTTAAATTTGTCCTTAAATGCCAAGAAAACTAAAATGATGTGGTTCAGTCATGGAGGAGGAACCATACCCACCTCGGTGGACTTCTGTAAATGGTGACATTATAGAAGAGGGAACAGTTTATAAATATTTGGGATTTTTTACTGATGGTGCTCTGTCCTGTTCACATCATGTTACTGTTTTACAATCTAAGGTTAAAGCCAGACTTGGTTATCTATATAGAAATCGATCTTCTTGGCTGCAAAACACAGCAATGTTGAAAAAAAAAAACATTCTACTTATGTTGGATAATGGAGACATTATTTACAGACATGCTTGTAAGCAGTGGTGTAGTCTACGTTATATGCAGGTATACGGAGTATACCCACTAGAAAAGCTTGAGAATTTCAGTATACCCACTTAAAAATGTCCAATGACACATGACATATCATTAGTCACGTGTCATAAACGACAGTTAAACACTTCTGTAACAATCTATTGGTATGCAGTGCTTGTTTATTACATTTGTTTATCCAGTGAATTATTGTATAATTCTGTACTTACTAGTTAATACTTGAACATGTTTTACTTGGATACTTTTTATAAATTCTATAACATGATTTTAATATAAAGAGAACTGTTGTACAAAGTTTGTTGTATGTTTATTCAAATATAAGCATCAAAGAAATTTGGAAATGTTCAATATGCTTAAAAATCTAAATAAATTGATGTTTACACTGTACTAACCAGTGTACTTAGGTTTCTAACCACAGTACACCTACTACAAAAATGTAGACTACACCACTGCTTGTAAGGGTGTCCTCTGTAAGCTGGACAGTTTATCACTCTACTATTGGTTTTGTTACAAATGCTTCATTTAGAACATCATTATCTCTGCTCTCTTGTTTAATGGCCTTCGATACATACCCATGAAATTCATTGGTTTACCCTCATTTATAAGACGTTGCTGGTTCTTCACCTCCATATTTAACTATTCTACTGTGACTAGCACTGGTTTGGAAGTACAACACCCGATCCTCAGTATTTGTGGTTAAAAAACTCTAAAGACCAAGTCTGGCTTTGGCTCTGCTGTTCAGACTGGAATCTGCTTCAAAAACTTTGGCTCTGACCTCATTTGTCTCCGTTTCTAATTTTAAAAATTGTTTAAAAGCTGTGTTGAAAGATAGTTGCAAATGTTTTCATGCTAAGCAATGTTGTCGTTAAACTTTGACAGTGCACTGTAGTTAATTTAATTTGTGTTTTCTTGTTTGTTATTGACTTCTATATATTATTGTTTCCCTTCCCTTGACCCTACAAGTACCTGTTGGTGCTGCCAGGCCAACTCTGTCAATAAGAATTTATTCTTAGTGTTTATGTCTGCTTAAATAAAGGTGAAATGAAAAAAAAAAAAGTTGCACAAAGTGGTCCACAGGGTTAAAGGTTATACTGTTTCACAATAAAACAAACTGTTTTAGTTTTCTTCATGCCTGCTCAAGATGAGAGTTCTGTGATGGAGTTAAATTCAAAGCAGTCTGATGATAAATAGTGTTAGATTATTAATTATTTTTAATGAATGATTGTGTTAAGTTATTATTTTTATATATGAATGTTTCTGTTCAGTGCCCTGAGATGACTTCTGCTGTGACTTGGTGCTTTATAAATTAACTGAATTGAATTGAAACTGAATTATGCTACTTTCAGCTTTTAGATATAGTTTTTCTATAATTAGCTTTTAGGTAATATTCTGCTATTTACCCAGCACTTTGCTCCCTTTAGCTTTCAGCTCATGTTTAGCTACTTTTATCTTAACTTCAGTTTCAGCTTCTTCAACATGTTTCAGGACTCAGGACTCAGTACTCAGTGTTCACTCTCCATTTTTACAGAAAACACTTTCTTTAGTCTCATATTTTGAAGCAATATCGGTTGATATCCTGATGCATGCTCAATAATCCAGGTAGAAAAATCTAAAAAAGTTCAATCTGGTCCTCTGGACATTCAAAAAATAAACAAAAAAAACAAAACAAAGCAAAAAAAATGTAGATACGTTTCGTCTTTCATCCGAAAGACTTCCTCAGTCTGAGGTGCTGTATTCAGCTCAGTCTTATAAATAGCACCTTCTCAGAGTGGATCAACCAGTTT